CAGCATTGTTCTTTGATGCTGACAAGATGGACATTTAGAAATAGCAGAGCTAAGTCAGCCTCGGCTAAGAGAAGAGTCCATGTTAATAGGCCAAAAAACAGCCTCCACCTCTGCCACCGTGGTGATTCTATTTATAGACACACTGTGCAAGACTGGGATAGCTGAAATTTTCCTAACTAAATTATCCTATCCATAGTTATAATTTAGCACCCTTCTGGTGAATACTTTCATAAGTCCCCCTCTCATAAATCCACCCAAATGCTCTTCACCAGACCCCATTTTCCTATCTTGCTCCTTCTGGGCCTCTGACCAACCAGCCCACTGACTGTGAGTTCATGTATATCCTTGCCTCCGGCCACTACTCTCTCCAAAGCGGATGGTCAAGTAAATTGCCTAAAGCCCTACTCATTGAGAGAATTTCCCCTCATCACTGTCTTTCAGGACCACTCAGGAAGAGGCGGTTGAGAAGCAGTAGTCCATACTTGGCTTGCCCTAACATGATCAAGACAAAGCATCCACAAACCAGACCTGGATTTTTTCCTCCTCTGTCAAATGGTTGAAGGAATTCTTATGTTGCCATAGGCATGAGCTAAGAGAAAGGTACTAGTGCAACAGATGCAGGTAATATGGAGGCCCGGGGCCCTTTGTTCAATTTAACTTACTTGTGCCAAATTTGCTTGGGCTTCTTCCAAACTGTACAATTTCCATTTTAATATGTATTGCTATTGTATCCACCCAACCTTATGATTTGGCACATCTAACAATAACAGGCTGTTTATATGGGCAACTGGTCACATAGTCACTTGATATTTTGTGGTTAGGCACTGAATCTCTATCAGGACCTAACAGTATGCCAGGAGATGCTTTGCAATGGTAAAACTTTCTCTACTGCAGGAAGCATCACCTTACTCCAGAACCCAAGAGGTCTGTGCTGGAACTCTCCTACTGTGGATTGCCAGAGAATCCACACACATATTTTCCTACCACAGATACCTCTAGTACTATGGAATTTTCTGGGTCTTATGGCCCAAGCAGCAGGACTGCTTGCATCATAGGCTGGACCTGCTGTAGAGGCCTTTCTTGCATTCCCAAGTTCAAAAATATGCTGCCTCCAAAAGTGGAATATGCCTACCAAGGTATTTTGCTACTTTCTTATGGTAAAAGACACAAGATACAATAACTTATCTTTACTAGAGAGGATGTCCCAGAATGCTCCAGATCACTGGACACCTAAAAACCTAACCAGCATGGCAGGGCCCTGCATCTTTTGAAGAATTTCTCTCTCACCCTCTGGAGTGTATGTGTCTCACCAAGGAATCCAGAATACTTGACACTGCTTGTTCCTCAGATCTGATTAGCATATCCTTAATACCTGAGTAGCATAAGCTTAATAAAGCAAACAAATGTGATATTCTACAGAATATCCAGGTCCTTTTGGACTATACTGTGAAAGAGAGAAAAATTAACATAGCTCTAGATCAAAACCATGAACATAGGGACTTCCCTGGTGGCACAGTGGTTAAGACTCCGAGCTCCCAATGCAGGGGGCCCAGGTTTGATCCCTGGTCGGGGAACTAGATCCCGCATGCATGCCGCAACTAAGGAGCCGGCAAGCCACAACTAAGGAGCCCGCCTGCCACAACTAAGACCTAGCACAACCAAATAAATAAATAAAATATTTTTTAAAAAAGAACTGTGAACATATACTATTGCCCATCACTTGCGATTCCAACTGCTTCTGATTCTTGCTGATTAGTATTGAAAGAATATATTCACGAGATCAGGAAACTTTCTGTAAAAAAGGCCAGATGATACATATTAATAGCCACATAATATATCAGAGGCTGCGTCACTCTCCAGTAAAGAAAATACATCTGGCCTCTTGCCTTCTGAGATGGCCCACACTCTTGTCTGTGAAGCGTGTTTCTCTAAATATATCCACTTTTTACCTATCACTTTGTCTCTCACTGAATTCTTTCTGTGACGAGACATCAAGAACTTGAGCTTCCTTAAGTCCTGACACCAGGAAAGAGAGCTGATGTTTTCTCAGACTAAGTGTGGACTCAACATGTGTTTGCAGGTGAAGTGTCTCGTTAACTACACAGGCCAGAGATGAAGCTTGTCTGATGTAAAATTGGTTGTGTTCAACAGAAAAATATCAAGACCTACTTGTAAGGGCCAGAACAGCTCCTGCTTGCCAGTGGCTGCTTTTCTATTCTATTTCTCAGAATAAATGTATAAAATCATATTATGAAGTTACAATGCAAAAAAAAAAAGTAAGAAAAAAAGAAAATACATCCATCACAGTACTACAATCAGGACTACTAACTGCTTAAGTTTACAGCAGTCCATTGTAGTCCATTACATCCCACCCAATGTTTGCAAGGACCAGAATGGTGAAACTAAATGAGGATATGATGGGGACCAACACCCCTGCACCCTTTTAAGTTTTTAAGAGTGTAACGAATTGCTACCATTTCCCCCAGAATGCAATATTACTTTTTATTTACTATTTTGGCAGAGGTGCGGGTGCAGTTTCAGGGACTTCTACTTGGGCTCTCTGCCAACTACCAAATATGTCCATTCTGATTATCTAGGGAAATTGGAAAAATGACCATAAAGTGGATTTTGGGACCCACTGTGAGACAGACCTGGGCAAGCACTCCATTTATTATCTGACCCTATATTTTCCTACTGTAATTGGGGTGAGGTGGGGCGGGGGGAATGCAGGAATGGGAGGTACTGTGATGGTGCTCTGGGTCCCTGGTATCAGTGTAACGCAGACCCCCTATCCCTGGTTTTCCAACTCAAAAATTTTGGGTAGTCTTCTTTCCCTAGTGTATGGTTAGCTAAGTAAATTGCGCATTCAATTGATAGATTGAGTCCGACAACTGTCTCAGGCCTATAAACTAGGCAAGGAATTGTGACTTTTCATTGAAGTTACTGACCTCAGCCTTCTGTTCAACCATTCCTGGTCACTCTTAATTATATGTAAATCAGTACCCTACTTGACTGTCCATCTATATGGTCCCTAAGACCACCCACGTTCCATTAGCCACCTCCACCTTGACCGTGCTGCCCTTATGGAAATTCACCCACCCTGCTTCTGAGAGTTAAGTGTTGCCATCTGGCCTCTGCTATCAGGGCCAAATGCTAGGATCCTATTAGCCCCACCACTACCAGGGAAACCAGTTCTTAAACATCCTCTTCCATCAGCCTCCACCCACAGAGACAACCACTTCTTAACTTCTCAAACATGCTGGTGGCCCCTTCATTAGTGCCTTTCTTTTATACAAAATTTTCCTGAGGGCTTCCTGAGAAACATAGTCAGCAGGTGGGTTTTCCAGTGAAATATACATTCATTCTTGCATGCATACTTCCTCTAAGCCTTCTGATCATTTTTCATATGGTCTGTCATCTCTACTTCATTTACTGTGGGCCATCGTTTCTCCCAAGCTCCCAAAAAGCCATCTCAACAGCACATTATAAGCACCTCATGGGGCCCCTGCCAGGATGTTCCGGAATCACAGGAACATGATTATCACAGTACTAACTTGATTCTTAATTAAACCATCCAAACAATTACAAATTTGTTTTCTAATGTACAGAATTTTGGAACAAAGGGGCACCTCCTTTAAAGTTTGAGAGCAGCATAAACACTTTACAGCTTAAACCTAAGCTTTGTGATGGTTATTTTAAGCAGCAAAGGAAGGCTAGAAAAATACTAGAAACGTCCTTATAGCGACACATTCTTGCTGAAGAAAAGGTTCAGTAGAAGCAACCCTCACATGGAACAAGGATAGAAATGCATCCCTTTGGCTGACGCAACTGTGGAGAGACTGAGGAGGGCCCTAGAGCAGTGCTTGCTACTCAGGTGGTTGGAAATTTGTACTGGTCTGTGAACAGTTTTTCACCAGTCTGCGACAAGAATGAGTTAGAAATTAAATGTGTTCACAAACCTTTTAGCATTTTGTTTTTTATTTTTATTCATTTATTTATTTGGCCGCGTCATGGGGCATGCGGGATCTTAGTTCCCCAACCAGGGATCGAACCCATCCATGAGCCCTGCAGTGGAAGCTCGGAGTCCTAACCACTGGATTGCCAGGGAAGTCCCTGGCATTTTGACTGCTATAATATCCAAATGCATCATCAGTGGCCTTATCCTGCGGAAGAGGTCTGGTCAGTTTGCTGTTGTCCAACTTGTGTGGTGGGTAGCCCACAGTGTGAACTGAGCGTATGGAACACATATTGGTGGACAAAGGACAGGATACTTATAAAACAAAAAACCTGGTCCTTTACCACAGTTTGAGAAGGACTGCTCCATCTTTCCACAAGTCCTAGAATAATTCAAATAGTATTTTTGGAACAGAGGGTAACCTGAGGTCAATTTGTTCATGTTCAATCAAAATCAAAATGAAAATGAATGGCTTGGGAACAAAACTAAGGTGGCATCTGTTTAGGTTCCTGGCGTAAGCCCTGGCCAGGCCAGCAGAAGTGAGAATGTGTAAAGGAAAACTGGCACATAGCTCAAGGTGCAAGGCCCTTTCGTTCTTCCCTCCTTTTTCTCTTTCCTCATCCAGTTTTTGCTAGTTATAAGGAGAGAATTTTGGCCATTCACGTCCTGTGACCATCATCACAACTCTGCCTGTACTTTCCCATCTCTTGCAGAGGAGAGGAGTCTCAGATTCAGACCCGGGCTCTTCTGTACTTTAAGGTACAGTAGCTGGACCTTCCCAAACAGCCTTAGGCCTTAAGAACATTTCCTTCCTCGCCAATACCACAGAATGTGTGGGATCTTAAGGGGTGAAAAGTCTTAATCCAAGGGAAAGTGACATGTCAGGAGCTCAAAGTGCCACAAATGATAAGTACAAATTTGCTCTGGAAGTTATTTTCTCAGTGCTGAACAAGGACAGCCAGCTGGTCTGACCAGAGTATCCACCAACATGTGGCAGCCAAGGTCTACAGATTCACTGGTTCGCACAGAGAAAAGCAAGGTCAGCTCAAAGAAAAATAATTTAGTAAACATGTTAACAATATATTACTAACATTAATAATAATACTGTGAAATGTTAAAATACAATACCAATCGAAGGGCTTCCCAAATTGAAATATTCGGAGAAAATGAGGAAAGATGGCCATTCAGTCTTCTTTGCCAACTGAGGTGCAGACTGAGCTGGGGAAGGGAAGTGGTGGTAGAACCCAGTAATGCAATGTTATGCTAACATTCCTCACAGGGCAGCTTAGAGAAGCTGAGGAAGATTAGGAAAAGACCTGGATGAAAAAGAGGCTCAATCCCTCACTCAGAATATTTATTAGTCAGGAAAAAGGATCCAGGCTGCATCCCACCCCCCCTTTCCCAAGCTACCTCCCTGAATCAATGAACAGGATTCAAAGGAATCAGATGTCTCAAATAAGCCAAAATGTATCTGGGGAAGAACAGTAATTCATTTCCTAGACCTGACACTATAATTATATACATTTGCCAGAGAGATAGGGGGGCCAGTGAGGGTGGTGGATGGACTAGATGAGGGGAAACAGGATGGGCCCTTCTTTGTCACAGTTTGGGCTCAGAGAAGGGTTGGAATAAAGAGGTATTTAAAATAGAGAGATGAGAGGAGAGGCAGGGGGTAAAGGAAGGTCAAGGGCTGAGTTCACCCAGATCACATGGCATTATAGAAAGAACAGGGCAGCTACTTGAGTTCTCAGGCTGGAACAGGCAATTGAGGACTCTGTACCTGGAGAGAGGAGAATCCCAGGGCTTCTCTTTCAGCCTACTGTGAAAGAGTAGCATTTTTAGATGCGAAAGCCCCCCCCACTTACTTTCCCTTCAGAGAATTCAGAACAGTCTGAAGGCAAGAGGGTGTGGTGAAAGACCTAAACCCCCAGCCTAGGCTAAGTTTCTCCCCATTCATTCCCACAGGTGCTGCCCAAGAAAACTATAGAAATATAGAGTCCTAGGACTCTGTCCCTGCTCCCCAGGTCCAAGACAGGGAGTAGACACAAGGCACGAAGACCCTGGGTACAAAAATGAACTCAGTGTGGCCCTGTATAACATTATTTTGGGAGAGGAAAGAAGGTGCATGCCCCAAAAGGGACACCTTCCTTCACCTGGTAGGTAGCTGGGCCTTTGCTAGCAGCAGAAACCACAATGGAAAGGGTTCACAGAAATGATCTGCAGAACAGACCTTATTCCTAGAAAGACAGAAAAAAAGCCTCAGCTGGTATGGCACAATCTTGGGTGGGACGACAGATGGCAGTGGGCAGACCACTCCTGTAGACGACACTCCTGCCTCAGCTCCCAGTGGTTCTGCTGACTCCAGACGTTCCCCCACAGCTGGGAATCAGGGAAGGAAGCATGTTGTGTTTCACATGATCAGACACTGTTCGCCATTGGCACCTGGTGGGCCCGAGAGATTGAGGGCATCCAGGTCAAAGTTGAGGCCAGGAGGCTGGAGAAGAGATGAAGGGACTCAGATAACTCCTCCTATTTCAGAAAGTTAGAGCTTTTGAAGGTCCATCCCCAGCAGCCACAATTATCACCTTAGGTGAAATCACTAAAGGTTACAAAATACTGGAAACCGGGGCTAAGATTAAAGTATATGAGAAGGTATACTCACCATCTCCCCAGCAAGCTCTTTTGGAGGATGGCCCAAATCCTGTAGCTGGAAAACAAGGAAAGAGGAACAAGAGATAAGACCATGCTATGTGGCCTCTCCTGTGCTCCCTCCTCCACCTTGGCTGGGCAGGGAGGCATCCTTCCAGGACACCTCCTCCACTGAACACGCAAGCAGATGGCAGCAGCGGGCAGACGGCAAGACGAGGCCTTACCTGCTGCATGAGATCCAGCACCACCTCAAAACGAGCCTTTTGAGTGGCCTCACTATCTGTGGGGGTTTCTGCCTCAAACTGCTCACATATTTTGCCCATGACACTGTGTTGTTCCTGGTATTTTTCAAACTGCTCTGGAGGTAGAGATTCTCGGTGAGTCTGCAACCATTCTGGATACTAAGCAAAGAGAGAATGGGTGGGGAGGAAGTAAGTGAACAATGAATAAGTAAGGGCAATAAAATATGAGGAAGAGTAAAACATGAAGGGGACAGGAACATAGGAGAAGGAAAAGCTAAATAAGCGAGTTCAGCATGAGAAGTAGCACTCACTTCAATCAGATCACCTGGCTGTGCTAGCATTTACGGTCACCAGAGGACAGTAAACGTTTTCTGTGAAGAGCCAGATAGTAAATATTTGAGGCTTTAAGGGCCACATATGATCTCTGTCACATATCCCTTCTTTTTTGTTTGTTTTAACAACCTTTAAAAATCTCTTCAGTGACACTATAAGCTCTGTGATGGCAGAGACCATCATTTAAACTACTCTTAAAATTGTTCACAGCATAAAGCCAGTAAATTCTTAGTGAAACCTTATTGGAGAAATTAATGAAGTTGGAAATGCAAGAAAGGTTTATCAGACAACAACAGAGACTTAGACCAATTTACAGAAAACTAGAGCTGAAGGATTTCCCCTTCTACCTTAAACATCCTCAGTATGGTAGCTTTATTCTCTTGGAGATACAACTCCTCCCTAACTCTCCCCCTCCAAATAAATAAAGGAGAAAAAAATAGATGAACCTGTACACTTGAGTTACTCTATCTCTGCAGGCTCTAAATAGACAAAGCAGCTCACAGGAGCTGATACAATGGGGAACAAAGAGGAAAAGCATAAATAGAAGTTCACAAACCTTTTCTGTGATCTCCTTCAGTGATGGGTACAGCACATCCTTGGACAGGAGGTTCTGCATGATACTCTGCATGATGGGGAGGATGGTCCCTTCCCCATCTCCTTCGTCCATGCCCAGCCCTTCCATGGCCTTGGTCAGCTCCTCTTCTGACATGCCAGAGTTCTAGAAAGGACAGGAGGGAGGTGAGCAAGTATACTACCTTCTTGGGATGTTCACCAACCTTTCAGGTGGGAAAGAACTATTTAAACTTGCCTGTAGCAAAGTAGTCAGGCAGGGACAGACTTGAGATGATACCCAAGAGAGTCTGCCTTTTGAGACTCTGCTGGTGAAGTGTCTAGGAGTGGGCCCCCTGTGGTTCCCTATCTCTTCCCCCTCACCTGAAGGTCAGTGGCATTCTTGGCCAGTCCGCTTAATGTCTCCTTTAGGCAAGAAGTGAATTCTTGTTGGGAAGTCGCATCACTACCTAGGAGGGATGAAAAGAGCCAAGGTCATTTAGGATTTTAACTGTTTGCTTGCCTAGACTGACCTGGTTACCAGCTTGGATATGGAGCATTTATTAGTGAATCACTAGCACTCCAAATCTTTGAATACTCTAGGGTTATCTTCATAGTTATTTTCATAAAACTACATGAACTGTGTGTCAGTTTGTTCTCCACAATGACACCCACATTAACACTGTGACCTTTAAAATGGTCACTTTTTAATAATCTTTTCTGTTACTTTCCAACTTATCTCATGCTTTTCATTAAACAGGGTCTCATGCCTCCTCCCATCTCCTCCCCCATCCCATGGCAGTGGTATCATAATTGCTGTCAACTTTACAAAGTTTGGTGTCCTCAAGCAACAATGACCTAGGAGGTTTGCTCAGGCATTTTCAGTTGTCTGGGGCCCCCTCCTCACCTACTCTCCCAGCAGCCTCTGAGAGCTTTTGGAACTGCTCTACCAGGTGGGGCTCTTCCTCAGCCAACTCCTTCATTGCTTTCTCGAACTCTGCAGTGGCTTGGGAAGCCAGCTCGCTGTCAAACAGTTCCTGGAAAAACTTCTCTTGGGAGGCGAAGAGGGCATCCTGCAGGGGAGAACGTGGCCTAAGTGCATCTCTTACTTGGCACCCCACTGCACATGGCCTCTGACAAAAGTCACAGGCAGTGGCTCTGGGAAATGCAGTGCTTCCCTCCTACCCACCTCCACTGGATATTCTGACTACCTCTCTTACTAAGAGCAGCAAAAAGGTATCTGGCCACTGAGGGAACGGTATGGAGTATCACTCCCAATCCAAACATTTAAATCTGCTCTTTTCTTAAAGAACTTCCTTGAGATCCCTCTACTCAATCTCAAGTCCCTGTTTCACAAGGACTGAGGCCTGCAAGAGCACTCAGCAATGTGAGGCCAAGGCACCTCCCCCAACTCCCCTCTGGCCTACAGGGGCCTGCCCAACCTCTGCTCAGAGCTGCATGCCCATTGCCCGCCCCCCCATCCCTTAAGTGGGTGGAATGTATACTTTGGCAGTGTCTCCCGGCGATCTCTTCTGGGACCCCGAAGCATCAGGGGCCGTGGTGGTAGGAGGGGGTGCTGGAGAGGGTTTGGCCTTATCAAAATCATCAAGAGCACCTTCAGAAACAAGAAACACGGCGTGTATTTGGGGATGGATGAGGATGCAAGGCTGGGGGGTTTCCGGGCAAAGCATTAAGAGAACAATCTTTCAAACTGTCAACTTTCCTAAATTTTCTCCTTTTTTTGAGTCTCCCTTTCCTGACCCACCCCTCAATAAGCCTCCCACTTCCCACCCCATTACCTAATTTATTGTCAACAAAGGGGAAGAAATCTCTTAAGGTGGCACAAGCATCTCTCTCAGAGCTGGGAGAAGAGAGTTAAAACTTCTGCAGAGACATCTGCATCTACACAGTGCCTTCCTTGCCATGCTTTAATGACTCCTAGAAATCCCACACAGATATCCAAGGGGAGCAGACAACACAGATGCCCTTACCCCCTGAACCCATTCTGAAGCCCTACAGGGAATAATCTAATCTTTGGCAAGAAAGCTGAAGCCACAAGATGTTTCACCTAGCTCCCCATGGGTCCTGGTACTAGTATGAACTGAGAGACTCCATATTACACTCCATGGGAGGGCACTGAACTCCCTTACCTTCCAGTTTCACTCTCCCTCCCCAAAGCTCTTAGAGCTCCCTCTGGCCTCCTCTCTGCAGACTCACACAGTCACTTAGCACTTCTCACAATTTCTGTTCATCTTTCCGCCTGCCCACTCTGTCTGTGACTGAGCAAGAAACAAAAAAATATTCACCTCTTCCCTGAAAAGCCTCTGTCCTCACCACCATTCTGCTTGCCAGACTCTAAGTGTAAGGGGAGGGCAGCGGCCCCACTCTGGGCAAGAAACAGGGCTAAGGAGGAAAAGTACAGCCACCCTCTTTTAAGAGGGTGAATTGTCTTCCCCAGAGGCCGTCTCACCCTGTTTTTCAAAATAATGGGAAGGGAGTGTGTTTGAGCTCTGACATGATGAAAGAACTGGAAAGGGGCCTGGTGAGAGAAAGGTGAAAGGACTGGGAGAAGGAAAGGCGTGTCTTCCGTGTTAAGGAGAACAGGACAGTGCACAGAAGGACGCACTTCGGGCTCGCTAAGAGTTAATGGAAGCAATCCGTGGATGTCCGGTTCGCGGCCCACCGAGGACCGAAGGCTGCTGCCGGCGGGGAGAAAGTCAGACTTTAAGAACTTACTAATCTAAAGTAAGGGGAGTTTGGAGTGGGATCGTGAAACATCGTCCTCTGGGTTAGTTTCCCCTCCGGCAAGGAGATCAACGGTCTGGGCCGCTCAGGGACCCAAAGCGAGCTCCTCAGCTCCCGCCGCGAAGGAGAGGGTGACCCAGAGATTATCTCGGGGGTCGCAGACTCTCCGCCGCCGACCAACCTTTGGAGAACCTCTCCTGCTCCGCCCCAAATACCTCAGGTTCACCTAACCCCCTGAAGGGATCCTTACACCCGCCCCCTTCGGGCCTTTCCCATTACGGGTTCTTACTTTCCAGAAGCTCTTCCAATTCCCGGTCGGCTTCAGCCCCAACACCTCCATCCTCCTCAACCGCGGCCATCTTGCCACCTCCGCCGTGCCGTAGGAGGCAGGACTCTGCGCCCCACCCCCCGCGCCCTCCCCCTCTGCCTCGTGCAGCCAATGGCATTGTTGGCCCGTGCCGGGCCGCCATTTTTAAAGGGACAGGAAGCTGAGATTTTTTTTTTTGCTTTTTTTTTTTCTTCCCCTCTTTCTCTAGGAACGTAGAACCAACAGAGGGGAACTTACTGTTACCTTCTGCCAGGTTTCTTACTGGCTTGGCCTCCTTTCTTTCAACTGCCTGCATTACCTGGCTTATTATTTCTTCCTGAACTGTGGGTAGGCCAAATTGGGACAAACTGCCTACGAACAACCAGAAGCTGTGCATGTGTAATCAATAACGATAGTTAACGGCATACCCAACATGCTAGTTTCCTCTCACTTCCCTCAGTATTTTACTCAAACGTCATCTTCTCTGAAATGGCTTATATGGCCTCACTAAATACAATTGCAACCCCTCCCACACACACATATACACTTCCTATCCACTTTTCCTTGTTTTTCTCAACACTTACCACTATCTGACATACTATATATTTTATTTATTTATCGTTATCTCCTCTCAAGCCCCTTGGAATTTAAGCACCATGATAGCAAGGATTTTCATCTGTCTTGTTCACTGCTGCATCCCCAGCTCCTAGGCTAGGGACTAAAACTTGGGCACTCATTGGCTGCTCTTTGCTCTCCCAGGCCCTGATGAGGCATGTTTCTCTGCAGAATCTAGTGGATATCTCTGATTTCCCTGCACCCCATTAAAACTGTCACAGTGCCAATAACTTAGAACCCAATGTTGGTTAATTAAATCAGGCAGAAAAAGCGACTCTTGGACCTTGGACTAAGCAAGGAGGCAACTGGAATGTAGTGGTAGTAGACCTGCCTTCCCTGACCTATCTCCTTTTCTCTACGCAGAACTCAGTCGAGTGTAGTTGGAGGAGACTCATGTAGACAACTCCAGACATCCCTTCCCTCCTCTGGAATTGTGCTATTCAGATCTGTGAGAATGCATCAACTGCCTGACAAACCTATCTCAGCCCTTGGAAGGCATCCGCTGTTGTTGAATATCCTATGCTGGGCACAGTGGAGGGCAGAGAGAGAAATCAGGACCAGCCCTTGCTGTAAGGTAGTTGACTGGGGATTAGGCTGGAGGTAGGATTAGACATACACACAGTAAGTATGGCACAAGGTTAAGTGTCTTATAAGAAGTAAGGATAAAGTACCATAAAGTTTAAAAGGGAGAAATCACACTAAATGAAAAAAGTTACTTCATGACTTTCATCCTTAGCTTCCAAAACACACACTTGAGTACTTGTGTCAAGCACCAGTTTAGGTACTTACTCTTTCCTTGACATACAGGGCACAGACTTTTAAAATCATACCTGTGCAAAACCTACTGTGTTCTTCCAGGCACGAGTACTGTGATTTGGGAGAAAACACTCTGGAGTCAGAAGACCTAAATTCCAGTCCCAACTCTTAAATTGCTTTGTTCAAAACCCTTCACCACTCTAGGACTCATATTACAAATATGTAACATTACATTTGGGACTCTAAGGTCCTTCCCTGATTAATTTCTTTCTCCCAAACATCTGTAACATCTATTCCAGGTTAACTTTCTCATTCAACTCCAAACTGCTTACATGTGTAATCTCTAATATGACTATATCAAGCACACATTACAGGTATTTATATTGGCTTTACATTAATATGGTAATAAAAGTATGTTAATAAGGAAAACATCAGATGGTAAATAAGAGAATTAAGATGGAGTTGAAAATAAGCACGATTCTTCCTTTGCACTATTTCTTAAACTTGCTTTACTGTTGATAAGCCTAACACCTCATCTCAGTATTTACTCACCTCCCACCTTTCACGTATAGTGAACACTGTTGCAAAACAGTATTTTACAACATTTTCTTTATATCACTCTCTCAAGTAAGGACTTAATGGCTCTCCACTGTTTATTAACCAACTTCAAATTCTTTCCTGGTATTGAATTATTTCACATGTATCCATTTTGTTTCCCCAATTACATAAGCTTCATGAGGACTGTCCACTTTTTTCATATCCCTCAGTTCAGAATGTTTATGTTGGTATGCAAAATTAATTTTATAATTTATTTTAAATTTACAGAAAAATTTTGCCATTTTGCCAAATTTTTCATCAACTTGCCTATGGTTACAGAAAGAATGTTTATAACTTGAGAAAGTGTTATGAATATAGTGTGCAAATTTTTGAGAGGGCAGGCTTAATTTGGGGATTCTGTTTAAGAAAGTATCTTTTAAAGCTAAAAAGATACAAAGCCCTGCCCTCTTTGACAGCAGGAATTACACTTATAGTTTATCCTCAGATTCACTTTTCACACCCGTCCAATGTATGTTCAAGTTGCTCACTGCAGCACTGTATATAATATCCAAAGAATGGAAATAACTCACATATCCATGAATAACAAGGCAACTTAAAATCATTAGTAGCTTCCATTTAGGTATAACAGGGGGATAGGGAAGAACATATTCATAACTGCTTGTTTATACATCAAAAAGTCTCTGGCAGGATATAAGGAAGTTAACAATGGCAGTTACCTGTTTTGGGGAAGGCGATAGGAACTAGATGGCTGACGAAAAAGGTGGGAGGAAGATGTTACAGAATAGCTTTTTACATTTACTGATTTCTGAACTATATGAATGTATTGTTTATTGAAAACATGAATTTAAAATGAAAAAAAGTATATATTTTAATCAAAGGCACAGTACATCACTCTATGGAATTAATCTTAGTACATGACAAGCAAAATTCTGTATTGCCATTGTAATTGCTGTACTATATACAATGTATTACTAATTAATCACATATATATCACATAAAACATCTAGAACAGTACCAAGTACATGGCAGGTGCTCAATGAATACACTCTATAATTAGCAATAGATGGAAGGTTGCAGTCAATAATGGAATAGGGGAACTACTTGCTTTCTACCATTCTCACAGCAATTCACTATATCCTATGAAAAATATGTACTTTAAAAAACAAATAGGTATTTATTACCTTTGTAATTAAAAATAATTATTGAAGGAAAGGTATCTGCTTTGATGGGGCTGCTACATGGAGTAAGTAGGAATTTGACAGTATCCAGGAAACAAATGGCAAGCCACAAAACTCTCATAGAAATTTACTTTATTTAGTGTGAGAAACAAAATACAAGAACAATTTTTGTAAAGAACAAGTCAACAAAAAGTGATGTGCATTTCTGGAAAATCAAATAGTTTCTTCTCAGACTTTAAGTTTCTGGCCACACAGAGGATATCTGCCTCGGAGTTTAAATGCCCAAGGAAAACGGGGATGGCTGACAGCTTGTTATGACTGAGTAAAAGATGCTATCTTATTTATTACATCTCATTCCTTTCTAACAAAAAGTACACAAAGGTGGTGGGGAGGGAAGGAATAAATATAGAAGGAATTTATTTCACAAATGTTCATCACAAATGTTCTTTGAAAGATCTAAGCTGGGAAGGCAAGGCTAATCGTGACCACAACTGTAGTTACCTTGAGATGAGAGGTCCTCAGAGGCAAAAAAAAAAAAAGTCAGGTT